TAGCCATACCATCTGAAAATCTTAAATCGGACAATAGTTATATTATAAAGACACGATATTACGTGCTGGGAAGCGCCAGCGTCGACGAAAAGAATTCTGAGTGCGAGAAACTCGCTTACATTGCACAATAAGTTGAACTTTATAAAACAAAAGTACATGGAACTTTCTATATTATGTGCATGATAAATTTCAAATTTTTCCTTGTCTACAAAAGTATATTCTTAAGAAGTAAAAGGTTTCTAATTATTAAAGAATTCGTGAAATTATAAATTTTAATCTTAACGTGCGCGTTTAGCAGATTAAAAAAAATATTTTAATAAATATTGAATACAAAAGTACAGAGTTCTTCTTATATTGACAAATATGTACTTAAGAAAGAGTTAATTATTAAAGAATTAAATAAATATATTTAATCAAATTAACAATTATAATTATGAATGTTTGATTTTTCGTATTATTTTGAATTACATCATTAATCTAAAATTATAAATTTTTAATCCCATAATGTGCGCGTTTAGCAGATTTCAAAATGTTGAAAGTTTAGGATCGGAACTAATTTTATATCGAATTCGGTTGAACGCACCAGTGCGCATTAGAGAAGTGTCTCTAGTACGCACTGATGCATATTGAAGCTGTTGTACATGGAAAAAATATATTTTACATAAGCCTAGAAGCAGGATTGGGAAAGTTACTTTTTAAAAATAACGTTACCGTTACCGTTATTTGCGGAAAAAAGTAATGTGTTACCGTTACTAGTTACTGATTCTAAAAAATAACGCGTTACCGTTACTTAAAAGTAACGATAAAAAAATCATTACTTTTCGTTATTTTTTTTTTTAATTATGAAGGATGAGACGAGCCTACTACTCACCGATTTTGATGAAATTATAGTCATTCGATGCATTTTTGCACGAAATGAACGACTCTGATAGAAAAATAAATGTCACTCTGCTCGGTAAACTGATTAATGGTTAAAGTTGATGACTATTGAGATAAGAAAATCTGTCCTAATTTCATCAAAATCGATGAATAAATCTGTCTTCTGTATAATTACACTTTTTAAAATGGTAAAACAGGCTTCTAAGACAGAGTATAAATAAACTATAAGATATTTAGAAACATACTTATAACATTTTTATCTTTTATTAATATTTTATATTTAATTCTGTGATATTTTATTATATAATAGATATTTTAGTGTTCCTATGCTAAAGCGACGACAGTGATTAAAATAAAAATGGGCAAAAAGTTTTTTGTTTATTGTAGTATCTATAATTTGATTGTCCATGACGGCCGTGACCTATAAAAAAGTAACGATACAAGAGTAACGGAGTCAATTTCGTTATTCGTTACGAAAGAAGATGTAACGTCGTTACTTTCTCGTTACTAATAAAAAAAATTAACGGCGTTACCAAATCGTTACCAAAAAAAAAGTAACGAAAAAGTAACGTTACAAGTAACGCGTTACTTCCCAACCCTGCCTAGAAGTATATTCTTGAATAGAAATTTAGAAGAATAGATATTCTTTTACATCGAAAGATGTTCATCTCATTATTGGTAAGGTGATGGATGCGCGGTGCTGGTGCGAGCTGTCGAACCTATAGAAGGCATGGAGCATATGGCTTATCAGCGTAACAGTTCGAAACCGAGAAAAGCCGATCTAAAACCACATGAACTATGCAACGGTCCTTCGAAGCTCTGCATGGCGTACCAGCTTAACAAGCAGCACAGTAGGTACTCTCTCTGTACATGGAAGAATTTATGGATCGAGGACGATCGTGCGTTAGGTGATATTAAAATCGTAAAATCCGCCAGGATTGGAATCGATAGCTGCGGTCCAGAATGGGCCAACAAGCCTTTACGTTATTACATTTATGACAATAAGTCCGTTAGCAAGAGAAACAAAAAAGCAGAGATGGAAATCGTTTAACAGCTCGAAGCTGATCATTTTATCAAGTCC